TCACTTCAAATGTTGCTTCCTATTGGTCGTCTTAACTGTCAAAGTCACGCACTTCGATGCTGTTTCCTATTTGACCAAAATGTATAAATACGCATGATCTGTAACGTTTTATGACCAGGACCAGGACCAGGACTCGGTCCCGGGTCCCTAGTACGGGATCCTGATTCTCTTCTGAATTCGGACCTTGTACTTTCTGGATGCTTGTAGAATACGCTTTCTACTTCATATCAAGTCTTCTCTTCTCATTTTTACTCACTATGGGGGCTGGAATAATCGGAATTCAGTAGCATGTCGTGTCCCCGGATCCTCTATCCTCGCTCTCGTTTTCCGACTAGGTCAACTTGTAATAGTTCAAGTATATCAAGTTGACGTGTTTACGTGCAGGCATAACAATGTCCTGGGTTCAAATTCTGCGAGGTACAGGAGTCGCGGATGCTCACTGCCACTGATGAGTCCCATATCAGGAAGAAACAGCCGTCTAGTGCTTGTAGGTTTCTAATGGTGGTCTAACGTTGATTGATTCATGGTTTCAAAAATGTGTAACTTAACAATTTTCACAACCCCGTAACGTAATATTTTTAATATCAAAAATCATCATTTTCATACTCTCATATTTAAATCTATTTTACATCAAAGTATTTAATTTTTTTTTCAATTTCTAATGCTATTTGTCTTAATGATAATAATAATAATAATCCTACACTTTTTATTCAATAATATCACATAAAAACGAATCCAATTTAATATAAAACTATTTAGTCATTACTATGGACTTCCCAACAATCTCTAGTTGTTCTGCTTTAGTGTTGTTGCATTTTCAAATGACGTCAATGTATGATAAAGATTAATTTTGAAAATGAACAATAATTGATCATTGAATAAGTAAGTGGAGATAATTCGATTGACTATTCACTACTGTGAATTATTCAGTATATATTAATATTGAATAGTCAATAAATTCGTGTCAGCACAAATACCTGTAATCTACACACTAGGTTCGATTATTTAAATCATTTACAAATTAATAATCAGCCGATGAATTGGGAACACACAGGCATAGTTTACTTATTTCTAACTGAATAATAAATAAGCTAGATATATATTGTTGTTAACAATCCCTTTTTAATTGAGATTATGAATCGATCCTATGTTAGACAGCGGGTTAAAAACCTATAAGCAATAAACAGTTGTTTTATCCTAGTGTGTAGGATTGTTTGACAGTATTTGTCCATGTACAAAACCACAGCCAAGAATCGGAATCAGGACCTTCAGTCTATTGTATAAGTATATATTGTATAATCCAAAGTGAGGTTTGGATTGAGGAATAACTGTCTAGGTAGTTTAGATAGACGCCTTGTCCAGCTGAAACCAAAACAAGAGATTCGGTTCTAATATTCATCATCAACGTAAATATACATCATTACCTAAACAAACACTACCACTCAGTTATTCCACCAACCATTGTTCAATTATTCAAAGCCACAGCAACAAATAAATGATAATCGATCCCTCCTGGATAGATCAGATTCGTTCGACAGATAATATTTGGTTGCTTTATAACACAGAGTGTTTCCTATTGTGGAAGGGTGCTTCAATTCACAATCAATATGCACAATTGCAGTCAACGCAAGCAATCTAATCAAAAGAGGAACAAATCAGTATGGCTGTTGCCATGATTAAGTATCAGCTTAAACAACATAAGTGCAGTTCAGAAAGAAACACAGAAACTCAGTGAAGGCAGAATAAATAGAAACTATAATTAAAATATAAATATTATCATCTCAAAATAGAATCGAACAGATTAACAAAATGTACAACTGAAGGAATCAATAAGGACAAATTAAAAATGTATATACATGGAGGGATTTTCACAAAGAAAAAGCCTTCAAAAAATGGATCTTACAAGAATGGAGAAAAGAATCATGAAAGTTATTCACTGTTTGATACAGCTTACAATGCTCTACATTTTTATGACTAATTGACATAACTCTCATTCTCTTCATAGTACCAATTGCTAAATGCTACTCAGTATGTACCGGGGCTTTGCTTAGTAGTTGTTGAAGTCTGAGGCAGACGAGGAAGATTCTATTGTGAAAATTACACTCTGAGTCAGTTAAAAACGAAAACATTACATTGAACACTCTATTTGCACACCATCTTTGAGTCGTGACTTCCAACACTCCAACCTTCTTCTTCCATTCCTGTTGTTGCTTCCTTTACTTCCTGTTGGTATTCCATTTACTTCTTGTTTTTGCTCCATTTGCTTTGCGTTTTCCTCTTCTGACCATGCGACTTCTTCTTTCACGTCCCTTCTTATACTACTTATATCGTTCGTATAAGTAGCACACACCACAAATATAGTGTACAAAATATTTAGTCATTAAGTCCAGTGGCTACATTGAAACTTGAATCGATTGTATTCGATCAGTACTAAAATAAGCACTTAACAAACATGATAATGACTATTAGTCAGTCTTCAATCATCCAGCTTTTAGTTTGTACAGAATTCAATAGTATACAAAATCTATCGATTGGTTAATTATTATTATAGTCAATTAACACGGTGGTATTTTAAAGGGTTCAATGTATTTTATTGATGTGGGGAACAATGTTTCTCACTTTCTTCAAAACAGCATAGAAAACTAATATTTTCAAGCTTATATTTCAAAATTCAAGTAAATTTCAGCTATAGAAATGTGATTTATAGAAAGAATCTTAAGCGAATGTTTTTTGCTAATTAATTGAAATTGAAAACTTTAAGATGTGAATAGTCATTATCTACTTTGATTCTGTCAGTAGTATCAATAAGAAAGGAGAGTTGAATAGAGTTATAATTCCGGTGGAAATATATCACAACGTCTGATTAGTATTGATTTAAATCGGATGGAAAAAAAACACGAGAATATATTTCATTGCGGGTCTGTGAAGATTGGTAAGTTGCACATTTTTAAAATCATAAATCGATCAATGTTAGACCAGAAATAGATACCTGGAAGCACTGGACGACCATATACGATTACTCAATATATAAAACTGAAAAAAATAAGCACTAGGTTAATGCGACCATTGAAGTGTGTTTTTCTCTAATCTATAGCTACTTATAACTTTAATTATCCATACTGATAATTCTTGGGAAAGTAACGTTACATAATAATATCATAGTTATTATATATTAGGCGCCATGCATGTGACATTGAAAATATTTGAAAGTAAATTGATCATTTAATTAAACCATATGCTAAAGTCATACCTACTGACACTTGAATCAAAAACTTGTTTAAATTCTATTTGTAATTGTGATTTTAAATATTACACGTTGTAAGCAGCTGACGAGAAGCACAAGGGAAAACAAGCAAGTTATCTTAATCTGCTCAAATCTTTGTCCTTGTTCTCTTCACTCATAAGAATAATTTGAGTGTGTAGTTTGGCACTCTGTGTCTAGAAAGTTTAAAATAGAAATAATATTTTTAAAATACACATTGATCATAATACTATAACCTCAGTGTGTTTTATCTGACCATGGCATCCGAATTTCATGACGGAAACAATCACAACCAAAAATTGCCACATAATAACTGTATTACAGGGGTGTGAAGATTAGTAAGTTACACATTTTTGACACCATGAATCGATCAACGTTAGACCACCATTAGAAACCTGGAAGCATTGGACAGGCGTTTCTTCCTGCTGTGGGACTCATCAGTATCAGTGTGCATCCACGACTACTGCATCTCGCAGGATTCGAACCCTTCGGTCATGAGCGCGAACACACCATTTAAAATCACTCTGATTTGAATTGTTTTTGGTAGTTTGCTTTGATAGTTATTACAATTTCTTATGGTCATATATAAAACAAACTATTATTATTCATCGATTGTAAAATTCAAAATTAATTAGTTTTTTAGATAACAAAGTAGTCAGAAAATTAAAAATTTATGTTAGCGCCACAATTCACAACAGTGTTTGTTTTTTTTTGGTAACAAAAAGACGGTAACATTCTCATTCAAGATTATTTCACCAGTCAGTTAAAAGCAATAAAACAATTTGACATGTTGTAGTGAACGAGAACACAGGTGGGGCAACCGAATTGTTTTCAACGAAAATTACAGAGTTACTCAGTAAAATCGGAAAACCATATCGTAAATTGTTCATTTGCAAAATATCATTCCATCATATCGAACCGGACTGTTCCTGTTGCAAAACATCAATCCATTGTCACTATTCATGCGTTTCATACAAATTCCATTGTTTTCTAACTCTTCCTTTCTTGATCTTTCCCCATATTATGTTGCCAAACATTACGTTGACACTCACGTATATACTACTTATAAGTAGCTCATACCACAATGTGTGTATATTGGAAGAATACTAAACTGCCAACCACCTGTCTTAGCTGACATTTGTATCGCAATCTTGTTTTCTTTTCAATATGATATACAGCGGAGGCATCTGCTCAGTACATGTGAACAATGTTAGATTTAATCAAAAAATCCCAACGGTCACATGAATTTCTTTGCCTCAAATTACAGAGTTAATTGGTAAAATAGAAAAACCATATCGTAAATCGTTAATTTGCAAAATGTCAGTTCATCAAATCCTGTTGCAAAACATCAATCCATTATGTGACATTTCACTGTTCATGTGTTTCATACAAATCCCATTGTGTTCCCGCTCTTCCTTTCTTGATCTTCCCCCATCTTCTACTGCCAGACATTATGTTTTTACTCGCGTCATATACTACTTATAAGTAGCGCGCACCACATAACTTGTTAAAATAAGTATTTTCTATGTAACTAAGATCTGATGTAGGATAAATATATTCTAATGGCTTTAAATTTCTGTGATTCACATAGTGAAAAGTAACAGTTACTCTGCATATTTGTCCTTAGACTGGACTCAAAATTGTTTATACAAATAAGTTGAAAAATTTGTTACAAATCTATAAAAATTCCACAAAATCATTCATACTACTTATTTATTGCTTAATCTGATATTTACAGATCAAGTCGGACCAGCTCCAGATTTATTATCAGAAGAAGAAATTCATTGGTATGAAAGGAACTTATTTAATTATGATAATAAAAAACGTTTTTCAAGACAAATTGAACGAAAATACAAAACTTATTCTAGAAGATTGCCTAGTTTGAAAAAAAGTCAATGGCTTCGAAATAAACGTAGATGGATTACAACTCCTAAACGATTTTCATGGCTAAAGTCGAAGCAACATAGAAATGATTCTCTATTCAGATCAAAACGTTCCATACATAGTAGTCATGAGATGATGCCTGTAGATCAACAATTTAATATAGTTAGCAATACAGTTATGACTAATCAGAATGTTGGCAATCAATCTTTATTGAAACATCCTCATCATCATCGTTCTACAAATAATTTAGTTGCTGTTATTACTGTGCATAAAATTGCTATTCGTCCATCGGTGTTAATATTAAAACAAGGCAATGTTCAAGTACGCTTACATTATGTTATGCAATTGCATAAAGAATTAACTGAACAATATCGTCTTATTCTGGAAGTACGCATAGATCCGGAATTTCCTCCGTTGTACATTGGGTAAGTGGTATATTTTTGTTGAAAAAGGGTTTTTAATCGCTCATTGAAATTATCTATGGATAGCTATGTCATTCTAGTTTGAAATACTTGAACAATGCTTACATGGACACCTTTCCTAGAGATCAGAACTTCGAACATTTTGGTTTGATGATATGTGCAGTGCGTTTTAATAAATCAGTGAGAATACAACGGCTTACAGCTCTGACATCCGTCATCCTAAGCACCAAAAGGATACGGGGTTAAATTTCTCTTTAGTCGGTTGGTGATTCCTGTTGGGAAGCTCCATAACTGGAAAGTAGCTAGCTATTCAGCTATCACTGTTGAAATAAATCGTTGCTCAGTGTGGAATGATTAACTTTTCTCCCATTAAACATTATTTCTTCCTATTTTTCTCTATTAATTCGCAGAGTTATTCAAAATGTATGTGATTATTGGCCAGCAAATGTTCCACAATCTAAATGTTCACAAAAAAGACCTCGATTTTATCAGAAAAATACAATGTGTTTTTGTAATATGCCACCGGGTATTTATGGACAACGTGTAAAATTAAATCTTAACAATATTTTAGATGAACTTGAACTACCACGATTTCTAGTGAATTTTTTATTTTCTGATAAAGTAAGTAATTTTGTTGCAGAAACGCTTATTGATTCCTTTTGTTAATGTTATTTTGTTCATGTAAGCTTGATGGTGGTTTCCTTACTTACTAAGCATTGTCAGTGCTTAGAGTAAGGGTGAAAATGAGATTTCAGTTATTTCACAAGTTTCAAAAAAAAAAGAATTCTGATGACCTTGTTTATAGGTCCATGTCATTGATCATTCTTGCATTTGTGTTGAATTTCTCTTCGAGCTTCCCCCAGTGAACTAATGACTTGAGAGAGATTGTTTTGTTGATTGCAGCTGGATTTGAATGTCATACTCTTAAAGATTCTCTGCGTCTTTTAGTTTGACTTTTCTTTAATTGAATTCAACCGGATTATAGGAACAACTGAAGATAGCAGAACTTACAAAGACTATCAATCAGAAATTAATCATTCAGAACAAACTGATTGTTATAATGCTGCTACGTATAGCGGCGTCCAAATTCAAATATTCCAATACAACCCAAATACTATTCCCAATTCTCCTATATATCAGAACGCAACACCGTTGAATGGAATTGTTTATTGGGTCGAGTACAGAAAAGAGAGGTAGACAAATAGAAACAGAATCGGAATCATGAAGTCTTACAGATAATGCGTATTTATACATTTAGTTCGAATAGGAAAGAGCATCAAGGTCTGTGACATTGACAGTTTAGGACGACCAATAGGAAAGAACATTTGAAATGACATTGACAGTCCGGATGACCAATAAGAGACAACATTGAAGTATTTGACTTTGACAGTTAAAACGACCATAATTTTGACCAATAGAAATCGACCAATAGGATTATACTTCTAAAAATAGTACTCTTAGGATATTTGGTGAATATCCTAACACTGATATACATTCCTATGTATGAGTTGTTTTAACCTGTTCATTGATGTTTATGACTGTTTTGGTTTATATATATATATATATATATATATATATATATATATATATATATGCTTCTGGAGTGAATATTAACTGTGGTATACGCCTGATAGGTCGTAAGTAAGACGAAATACACGCGTCCTAGATTCCATTGTTAACCATAAGCCATTTGTGTTTATAAACTGTTATAAACTTGTTCATTAAAGAATAAAGATCTAAGCAGAACAAAAATAAATTCATTTTATTCTATTTGGTTGTCGTCAGTTGCTTACAACCTGTAATATTTAAAATCATATTTACAAATTAAGTTTAAATTATTCACATGAAAGAGTTTCGTTATAAATTATTGTGATCACATAACATTAGATTATAGGCAAGGGTGTACATAGTCAATAATCAATAATTGATAATCAACCATCTCCACAATCTGACAATGAAAAATAATCAATCGGTTTTGTCCAATTAAGTACAAGAGAAGCGTTGGTCAAAAAGGTTATGTGTACCATTGACATTGACTGGAGGAAGAATTAGTGAACGTTAAAAAAACATTCATAAAAGACAACTGCTTACCGTAGAAATTTATTGACGCATTGATCAAGTTACACATTAACACCGTTAGATATTGGCTCAGTGGTCCAGAGGTTTGGCGTTCGTGCACAAAACCGAAGGTCACGGGTTCGATTCCTGCGGGGGGGCAGGAGTCATGGATGCGCACTGCCACTGATGAGTCCCACGCCAGGACGAAACGGCCTTCCGGTGGTTTCAGGTTTCTAATGGTGGTCTAACAATGATTGATTGATGATTTCAAAATGTAATGTCTGAAGTAAATAAGACCAATTAATAAGAAAAACTGATATCTATAAATCGCAATTTCAAAAGTGAAAACATTGCAAGCACAATCAGTAGATGATTTAATACTGCAGTAAAACTGTTCGTACTACTATTATATCTTCAATAATCTAGTCAAAAGTTGCAGAGCAACCCTTTCATGTTACCTTAAATGGTACTGACACATTAACGTGTACCTTCTTAAAGCAGTTGATTTCACAGGACTGTTTTTGGTATGCATACTTGGATTCGAGGGATTTGTGTTCAATTCGTATCGAGTTGATGATATGATTTTTGAAAGTACCTAGATGGGTCCAGATTTCTTTGAAATCAATTGGTATTATTTCTTCTTGGTTGTTTATACTGAATCAGACACCAGGGTTGCGGTTGCTAGAATGGATTGATTTATTCAAATAATGATCTCATTTTTGTTAGCAGTGCCAAATGATAACTGTGTTCATTTAACTGGCTTACTATTTGCTGGAGCTTGATTTTATTATGCAGATGCTCGTACATTCTATAGAGAAGGTTTTGGTTTTCTAGATTTTTCCATCTTCTTTTGTTGGTCTGTTGACCAGAATTATTTTAAGGAGCAAATAACGGGGACACCTTCTCCCATTCTTTCGACGTACACCCATCACTACCTATGGTGAATGTGCGTTGATCACTTCTATGCTTCATTACCGACAGAGTTGTGGATTAGCCCGATCTCCATCACCCGTATCGCTGCTTGCGTTAGCTCGTGGGATTGAGTCCCACTATCTAGGAGGAAACTACGTGTAAACTCAAGTTGGTCTTTACACCCCGTCTCATTTTGTTTGCCAAAATTATTTACATTCATGCCGTAATATAATGACATGTGATCATAATAATTTACAACTGATCTCTTTCAAGTGAGTAACTTAAATGCCCCAGTGCCTTAAACCAGATCAATGCAATTTTTTTCCCCAGTATATTAAACTCAAACTAGACGGAGGCATCACATTTTAATGGGAAACAAGGATTGAATTATTTTTCTTGGTTATTTCATGAGAATGTAATTGAATGAATTAAACATAACTTCAGGAAAATTATTACTGACTAACAAACTTACGCCTGTTACCCCCAATGAAAAAGAGGCCACCGACTAGCATTCTTTAACCCACTCTGTATTAGGGCTTCGTTTCCAGCTCTACCCAATCGCTGTTCATTTATTTTATGTCTGCTTCCGATTCTCAGAGCAATATGTTCTTTGATCGTTTCTTTCTCCTTTGTCCCTGAGGATTCCAAGTGATGGCTTGTCTTGTGATGCATTTGGTTGATTTCCGTAATGTGTCCTATTCACTTCCAGCTTTTTTTCGTGGTTTCTTCTTCAGCTAGGATCTGGTTTATTCTATCCCACAGTAGGTTATTGCTGATGGCGTTTGGCCAACAGAAACGAAGTATTTTGAGTAGGCAAGTGTTAACAAACACCTAAATCTTGTGGATGATGGCCTTCGTAGTTCTCCTAGTTTCTGCTCCATACAGTAGAACTGTCTTGACATTTGTATTAAAAATTTCGACTTTAGTGTTAGCCAGCAGTTGTTTTGAGTTGCAGAAGTTCTTCAATTGTAGAAATGCTGCCTTTGCTATGCGATGGCAAAGCTATTGGCTTGAATAAAGTTCCACAATAATAACACTCAAGGTGAAGATCAAATCTTCATCATAAGTGGTCCCTAAATTGTAACTAATGCCTTGATCTTCAATAATTAATAAAACTGACCATTTGCTCTATATCATAGTGAAAGAACTTTTAATGTTTTATGATAGTTAATGAGAGTTTGTAGAAATTCTTGCAAATAAATCTCATAAATGTTGATTCACAACAACACGGCTTATCTGCTATCTTGGAGGTGACTCAATCAGTCAGTCAGTTACAACGTAGGAATTCGTATATGAGTACATTAGTTCAGGTCGCCATACCTCATCAGCACAGAGCCGCATTTGTCAGTTCAAATCCCATAGTGGCAGAGATAGCAGAAGTATTAACAGTAATGGAGAAGATCAGGGTTCAAGGATATTATTCAAGAAGTATAATCTAGTGAAATAAAATTACAAAGAAAAAGATAGAGATAATGAGGAATTTAGAAGACTAGAATGTGAGAGAACACAATCAATGAACGCACCTGCGCCATCGCAAACTAATTTGAGCCATGTCATTCAAGGTCTCTAACCATCGGTAACTTTCGTCTCGCGTACCCCAACCAGGTATCCTACACTTACTTACATGACTCAGTCCACTTGTCACTCACTTCATGGTTCGGCCACCCCTATTCAAACCTACTTCTACACCACAAAACATAGCTCGTCGCGGCAGTCGGTGGTTAGGCATACGTAACACATATCCCAACCTCCTCAAATGATGGATTTTCATCACTTCATCTACTGATCTGCCATCCTTACCTAATACTCGTTTCCTAACTATAGTATTACTTACTCAGTTGTCCCACGATATACGAGCAATGCTTCGAAGACATCTGTAATCGAATACTAATAACCTTGGAGGTGACTGATACCAAAGATGATTCCTTTTAGAATAAAATCTCTGTCACATATTATCACAGTCAGATACATTACCATTAAGATGTTTGAACTTTAAATTCACTAAACAGTTGGATTTCTCTATTCATCAACATCGTTGTCAGAATCTTTATCATTACTACACTACAATGTTTTATCATGAATTATCAACCAAAAGTTGTTAAACGAAAAAAAATAATTAAATTTACCTATCCGCTATCAATCATATTATCTTTATCTTTTCTAAAACATGTCATTCACAATACTGGAATATGGACGATTTATCAAGATTGTTTTTATCTATCCATAAACGGACGAAATTTTATTATTTTTGATTATGTTTTCAGTGTTTTAAGAAAAAGATCTTAATAATCCACCATCATCAAAAACATTTCTCATCATCATCTAATATATTGATTTATTTTATTGATTTTTTCTCTCATAGAAAGTCGATGTTCATATTACAATCAAATTAGAAATGGAAAATAAAGATCTTGTAGGTTGTATGAAAATGAAGCTACCATTACAATTTGTATCAGCTTAAAGAAAAAACAAAACACACAGATATCATCAGTTATATTGTCTTCCATATTAAAATTGTACAAACACATCAAAAAAATTAACTCATTCTCACTTATACAACCGAAAAACAAATTCACATACATTTATATACTGTTTGTTTGTTTTATCAGTAGTATAATTTCTTATATATCAAAATAAACAGATTTACATAGACTGGTAATAAATAATTCCTCAGGTTTCTCTTTTTTTTTGTTTGTCTTGAACATTGAACGCATAAAAAATTGGACACATGATCGATGACTGTGTTCGTTGTTTGAATGAGTGTTCATGTTAGAAAAAATAGATATGTTAATTTATATCAATATATTATCATCATTATGGATTGCATTAATTTTATTTTCAAAGATATATTTTTTTAATAATAAGTATTATTTCAAATAAAGAGATATTCACAATAAAAATGTCTTTTAAATTTTTATACCGGAAGATTTTTGTTCGAACAATACTACGGATCGATTGAAGTTGTACATGAATATTGTGCATTCTGACGCGAGATCGAAGTTCCTGGATTTGATTTTCGCGTGCGGGGATTGTCAGTGAGCACTGTTGATAAGTGTCTCATAGTTGGACGAAACTGCTGTCCAGTGCTTCTTGTTATGCATGCACGTAAACATGTCATTTTGTTGATATGCTTGAACTATTACGAGTTTACCTTAGTCAGAAAATGAGAGTGATGACCGATGATCCGGCGAAACGACATGTTACTCTAATCCAATTGTCCCAACCCTCATTGGGTAAAAGAAGAAGACTTGATATGAAGTAGAACAAGTATTCTACAAACATCCACAAAGTACGACGTCTGAATCCAGAAGAGGGTAAGTATCCCGGACTAGTGATCCGGGTCCGGGCAATAAAACATTACAGATAATGAGTATTTATACACTTAGGTCGAATAGGAAACAACAATGAAGTCTGTGACATTGATAGTTAGGACGACTTATGGGAAACAACACTAAAGTACGTGATAGTGATACCTAGGACGATCAACAGGAAATTACCAGTAGAATTAGACTTACAAACAATTATCTTAGGATATTGGATGAACATCTTAACACTTCCAGTATTTTAATGGTAGTCTAACAACGATTAATTCATGATATCAATGAGATGATGATTTCGTTTTTCATTTCTATTTAAATTCTTCCCTACTCATTTCAAACTATAAATTTTCTCGGCTGAAAACCTGATTACCTGAAGAATCGATGATACAGTTTCATTAATGATCAAAGTTGTTGATACAAAGTTCTTGTATCCAGAATGTTTGGGAAATACTGCCTATTCCGAAAGCACTAACTGATGTTTTATTATAGTGTCACGCCAGAAAAAATGAAAATCATGTAATACAACACGGAAGTTGATTCTGTTTAAAGAAAGTGAAAATTAATTGATGTTTGATAATTTCAAAATCTAAAAGGTTATTTATTGAAGATTGATCATAGAGTCGTTGCGAAGAGTTAGATTACTTACTTACTTACTTACTTACTTACTTACTTACTTACTTACTTACTACCCACTTACTTACTTACTTACGCCTGTTACCCACAAAGGAGCATAGGCCGTCGAAGAGTTAGATAGTGTAGACTTATTGTTCAAAGCATAATTTTATACCTTACAAAATTGGCCATTATTAATGTAGCTAACTGGGATCAACAATTTTGCTGATGATCACTGACTATTATAAAATCTAAAGAAAGAGTTAATGATAATTCGCTCACACATTACTAAACAAGCTGCATTACGATCATAAACTTGTTTCATGACATTCTTTTACTATCCTGGAAACACCTGATGACCTTTCGTTCGGTTATGGGACTCATCAGTATTGCGCAACCAAGGCTTCCGCTCGTGCGACTCAAAGCCACGCCATTTGGTCTCACGAGGAGACGCTTAACCTTAAGACCACTGAGCCGACATCCAATGGTGTTAATGCCTAACTTTAATCGATCCCCAAGTTATTGTGCAACCTCACCCAATGTCATATCTGACAGGTTCAAACCCCACTGGTCACGACTTCTCACTAGAACTCCAAGACTTTCCTCACAAAGCTAGACAATAACGCCGTTGGATGCCGGCCCACTGATCGAAAGGTTAAAAGTTCGTGCGTGAGAACAAAGGCTCTCAGTTTGATTCCCACTGAAAAGTGCCATAGTCGGACGAAATCGCTGTCCAGTGCTTCCAGGCTTTTAATTGTGGTTTAACGTTCATCGATTCATGATATCACTGAAAAATTTATCTGCCATTCTAAGTACTTCAAGATCCTATGGGGCGTAGAAATATCAAACGAAAAAATCAGACCTGCTGATAACCACTTCAGCCATGACTTACTCATTTATGCCTTATATTATATTATATATATAAACGAATCCTACGCTTCGTATATCACCCGTCGTGATAACCGTTATTAGATAACTCCTAAGGGCGTATAAATTTCAGAGCAAAATACGAAACGTTGACTACAGTTTATTGTTGTATACTACAGATGGCAAAGATATGAGCAAATGATATGAATACGAACAGATACGCAAATGCGGAAGAACGAGTGGATAGGATTAAACGAGCTCTTGTATATGGGAAGGTAGACGAGTCATAGAGTGGTTTAAGCCGCCAGCGTATATGTTAATAAAAGGAATGTGTGTGTCGTCTGCAACACTTGAATATCCATACAAGATCACAGTACTCACTTACTTAGTTACTTACGCCTGTTACCGGCAATGCAGAATAGGCCGCCGACTAGCATTCAACAACGCACACTGTCCTGTGCCTTCATCTCCAGTTCTACCCAATCGCTGTTACTTCTTTCCCATGTCTGTTGCTAACTCTTGGATCAATATGTTCTTTGATCGTTCTCTTCTTCTTCGGCCTTGAGGATTCTATGTGAAGGCTTGTTTTTTGAAGCATTTGGTTGATTTCTGCAATTTCTGTCCCATCCACATCCAACGATCTTTCCTAATTTCTTGCACAGCTGGAATCTGGTTTAGTCTATTCCACTGTATGTCGTTACTGATGATGTCTGGCCAAAGGATCCTCAATACTGTGCGTAAGCAACTGTCAGTAAACACTTGTGTTTGATGGATGATAGCTACAACGTCATAGTAACATGATAAGAGTAATAATACAAAACATTGGTACTTTTTAATTACTGGATGGTATTGTCTGTTACATGAGCTAATTGAAGGGATTATTCAAATTAAATTCACATAGATTAAAGTGTGTAAGTGAGATGTTCATTCATTCACTCTTAATCATACGAAATAAAATGATAACTTATACTATTAAATGACCGTCAAATTAACTGGATTCTTGTTTTACTCAAACAATAAATGTGTTATCAACTAAATAACTTTATGTGTATACGATTGTATTGTTTTAGAGAGAATTTCACTCATTCGGAACTTTTTTCTCAATAAATTTAGGTACTTGTGTAATTTATTATGATTTGTCGTAGAAATATATATTCTCCTGTAAGTAGCCGGAGTCGTGGATGCTCACTGCCACTGATGAGTCACATACCAGGACAAAACGACTGTCTTTCAGTGCTTCCAGGTTTCTAATGGTGGTCTAACAATGACGATTGAGTGATGGTTTAAAATGTGTAAAAACACTAATCTCCATAACTATAATTGAAAAATATTCATCAGTTGTTTGAAAAATATTTGTTTGCAAAAGTTTAGTTTAAGTGAATTATGGGAGCTGTTAAATGGATACATTTTGAGTACGTAGTGTGATAGAACAGAAGGACTTGAATATATCTTTAAACTCATTTTTTAACAAACATAGGGCAAAAGTAAAATAAACTGAGTACTGCAAGTGACTTATCAGTCAATCAGGAAAAAATGTTGCGTAGTTATGGTAGAAATGAAAGTATGAATCAATAAAAATAGAAGTGGGTTAATAGCTTTTATCCAAATAATTAACCTTCACGCGTTAAACTATTGCTTCTAATCAAGTAAGAATGTTTAGGCTTACATCTTCTGAGCCAGATTAGTAGTATGAGTTACGGTTGTCGTTACCAGTCAAAAGGGTGGGATCAGGTATGAAGTTAAGCTTTAGTTTTAAGTTCGGCTTACAAATTAGAGTTAAGATCATCATTACGAGCTAACACATCAAATATGATCAATATTTTACCATTCTTTTGTAGATGAATTCAAAAGACCTAGAGTTGAGATATTTATAGCAAGAGTTAAAGAGGGGGAGCATACTTACTATTTTCACTCCATTCAACACTCTTCACTACAGATTAAATCATATATAACAACAAGCATTGTAACACAAAATCTGCCCTAGGATCGGGTATATTTTTCAATTCACCACATCAATTTCACTTTTTGGTTACATAATAGAAATTTTTCATCAAGTTGAAGCATTTTAATGACTAAATAATGCAATCTTTTACTTCTTCAATATTATAGCATACAAGTTAGGCATGATCAAATTTCGAATTTCGCGCAAAATATATTCAACGTTAGCTTGATTCTTATTGGCTGACTCAAGATCATCAGATTATTGTACATTTAATCTATTCTGCCTGGATTTATTAGATCCAAGATCCTAATTTTTGCAATAAATTTTCATTAATCAATAAACATTTCTATGTTTTTGGACACTTGTAATTGCAGTACAAAGATACTTGTCGGTTAAAGTAGAAAGAAGAAATCTAGACCGAATTTCAGCTCAGTGTAAGAAGTACTAACTCTACAACCAGTTGGTATATTTTTTAATGGTCAAAATCTAATTAAAATGACCTAAAATGATGTTGATGACATAGAATGAAAATACTTGTAATCTATTTATGAACTTGAATCTGAAGATCTTTAAAAAAGATCTCTTATCACCTTTTACTGAAAAATGCAGAATTTCTGCATAATTAACGGAAATACATTTTGGTGATAGGAAATTGTTTCCGTTATTAAAGTATTTTCAAAATGGACGAAGAAATTAGTAAAAATGACAGTTGACAAATTT